AAAAAAAAAAAAAAATACTAAAAAAAAATGATAGCCAGATCACTCTCAAATAGTTTATTACATATTTCCTCAAATGGTAGATTCTCCTACAAAACCATGATATAGCCACAAAACTTGGGAAATTATCATTGATAATTTCATCCACAGATTCTAGCCAAAGTTTACCAGTTGTCCCAGTGTTCTATATAGCAAAAAGATCCCCTCTCCAGAATCATATGTTGATTTTTAATGATAACTCTGGCATTTAATGTAACACTTATATACAAGAATTTGCGGTAGATATAAAAGGCATATAACTATTTATAAATTTCAAATTTACATTCCTGTTTGAGTCCAGAGTGCCTGGAACATATAAGGCACCAAAAAGATATGTTTTAAAGTGTCTATTAGGGCACCTGGCTGGCTCAGTCGGTTAAGCCTCTGACTCTTGGTTTCGGTTCAGGTCATGATCTCATGGTTCGTGGAATCGAGCCCTGCATCAGACTCTGTGCTTGCAGTGTGAAGCCTGCTTGGGATTCTCTCTCTTCTTCCCTCTCTGCCCCTTTCCTGCTCTCTCTCTTCCAAATAAATAAATAAAACATTAAAAAATAATAATAATAAACTGTCTATATATGTGTATACATATACTTATATATTTATATTAAAAATTTTGGAATTATAACAGCATATTGCCTAGGTTTTGTGTGTATGAAGTATCATAACTATTTACCCTTTTTATTTTTGTCATTTATTTTTGTTTTTTTATTTCCAGTTTTATTTAAATTTCATGATTTTTTAAAAAAAGGAGGGCCCTGAAAGAAAGGAGAGATGAGCAAGGTGCCTCTTTTGTAAAAGCAAACAAAAACTTACATCCAGCTAGTCAAAGAGAAATCTCTGGTTTTGTGTTTTTGTTTTCTGTCTCTTCATTCCTCCTGAGGAGTAGAAGGAAATAGTTGTTTCACATTCTCTCCATAAAGATTAAATGACCTAGCTCTTCAGGATTGTGACAGACAGATTAAGTGAATTCTGAAATATTTTGCTTACTGGCGGATTTGAGTAGCTTTCTCACTGTAAAGACAATGAAGAGGTCAGAAGAATGTAAGATATAGGGTGAGAGAAGCAGAGGGAGGCGGGAAGACAGAGGGTGTGAGGCCCCTCGGCAGAGATGGGCCAAGACCCACAGGAGTACCCCACTCAGGTGCACACGATTCTTCTCTGTGCTCCTTCTGGTGAAAGTTAACTCTCTCCTCCTTTTCCTCCTTCTCCTCTTTTCCCTCATCTGGCCTGGTTTGCAATATTATGTAAATGACTTAAACTCCCTGGTTAGCTAAATGCCTAGGTTTTGTTTTTTGGTTTTTTTTAATAAATACCAGAGACTAACATGAACTAGTATTCATTCTAAATTTGAATGTAGATAATGGTTATACTTATTTTTAGATTGTCAAGAGTAGTATAGAAATGTCCAAAAAATTGTTTTTTTTTTAAGATTAAAGCAAATTGAAATTAATTTTGTTTGGAAAACTTGCTTTTCTCCTTGAGGTGTTACCATATACCTTGAGATGAGTGATTCTGTTCTGTGGGATTGTTGCAAACTAGGCTAGGGCTGAGCAACAGTATTTTCAAGAATAGATTTTACCAGTGTAGACCCATGTCCTTATTCAGAAGCTTTTGTTTTGTTTCTATTTAATACATGTACATTTTTCTCTATTAGGTCATATTACTTATTTTAAATTTATTTATTTATTTTGAAAGTAATATATGCTCATTTTAGAGGACCAAGGATGTAAAGAAGAACAGATATTCTCTTACAGCTCATAGATACTACTGTTAACATGTTGCTGTATTCTCTGTGTCATTGAGAATTCTTCAAAAATAATGTTTAATAGTTATACAATATTCTAACTTACAGATATAACTTATTTAACCATCCTCCTGTTGTGAGGCACCTAAATGGCTTCTAAGTTTCTTAAAGTTAGAAATAGTCTTTTTATGATTATCCTTAAATATAGATTCAGTGTTATTAGTTTTTACTTTTCCAAAATTAATAGATTTTAGTAGTTTGATATGTTTTGAAACATGCCTTTTTTTTTTTTTAAGTTCATATGTAATTTTCCACCCCATGTAAGTCCTCTTTTTCCTGGTGCTAATCCCAACCATCCCATTTCTATAGGCAACCAACCAGTTCTAGATGTCCTCCCTTTCCAAAGACTTTTTTAACGTTTATTTATTTTTGAGACAGAGAGAGACAGAGCATGAACAGGGGAGGGGCAGAGAGAGAGGGAGACACAGAAGCTGAAACAGGCTCCAGGCTCTGAGCCATCAGCCCAGAGCCCGACGCGGGGCTCGAACTCACGGACCGTGAGATCATGACCTGAGCCGAAGTCGGACGCTTAACCGACCGAGCCACCCAGGCGCCCCTCCAAAGACTTTTTTACCCATGGAAAAATGTTTGTCTTGTATCTCGTTCCCCCTCAAAAATCATGATAGTTTGATGAACTCATTGATGCTTACAGAAGGCACATTGAATTGTGCCTTTCTAGACATAGTGCCCTAATAGGCCTTTTTGGTCAAGTCATTAGTAATTCTGATGATGGGGATTTCTAGCCAAGTGAGAAGGGAAAGGCTGTGCCGTGACGTACTGATTACACTCAGTTTTTCTTCTCAGCTGCCCCACGCTTCTCGGTACTATCTGAGAACAATCAGGCTTCCCTATTTCTTTTTGAACGGTTGAGATGGAAAACTGTAATCAGAGGAGATATGGTATATGGTGTGATATAACCATCCTAAAAGGCAAGATTATCTTGGTCATACTTTCTCTCTTTATATCTAAGCCTTCTCTGGCTGTTATAAGATGCCATAGGACCTGGAGATGGAATGTGGTGTGGTGGAAACTCTACAGTGTTGGGCACAGGCAAACTCAGATGCTAATTCTGTTGCTGCCCTTAGTGGGCAAGTCACTACACTTCTCTGGTCTTCTGCTTCTTTACCTTTAAAATGAAAGTAAAGGATCTTTAAAGTTTCTTCCTTCCTGGGAATGCAAACTGGTGCAGCCACTCTGGAAAACAGTGTGGAGGTTCCTCAAAACATTAAAAATAGACCTACGCTATGACCCAGCAGTAGCACTGCTAGGAATTTACCCAAGGGATACAGGAGTGCTGATGCATAGGGGCTCTTGCACCCCAATGTTTATAGCAGCACTCTCAACAATAGCTAAATTATGGAAAGAGCCTAAATGTCCATCAACTGACGAATGGTTAAAGAAATTGTGGTTTATATACACAACGGAATACTACTTGGCAATGAGAAAGAATGAAATATGGCCTTTTGTAGCAGCGTGAATGAACTGGAGAGTGTTATGCTAAGTGAAATAAGCCATACAGAGAAAGACAGATGCCATATGTTTTCACTCTTATGTGGATCCTGAGAAACTTAACAGAAGACCATGGGGGAGAGGGAGGGAAAAAAAAGTTAGAGAAGGAGGGAGGCAAACCATGAGAGACTCTTAAAAACTGAGAATAAACTGAGGGTTGATGGGGGGTGGGAGGGAGGGGGAAGTGGGTGATGGGTATTGAGGAGGGCACCTGTTGGGATGAGCAATGGGTGTTGTATGGAAACCAATTGGACAATAAATTCCATATTAAAAAAAAAATTCCTTCCCTAAGAATATTGATTCTGATCCCAGAAGTCATATCATTCAGGGTCATTTAGGGTCATTATAGGGACTGGTTGGTATGAACATGCTTTTTTTTTCCTTACATTTAAAAAAAATGTTTTGATATTGACAACAGGGTGCTGAAATGCTGTTTATTAAATCCTTCTTAAACATATAAATAAAAGGTTTGTACCCTTTTACAGTGGCAGCTGAATCCATCAAGAACTTGTGTGGGTGAACAAAATGAGCCTGAAAGCAGAGAGAGTAAGTATTTAAAAGTCTCTTATTAAGCTAAGTCTCTTGTTGCTAAGAAGGAAGGATACATAGTGAGTTTTAATGATCAGGTGTTTGAAATTGTGGTTGTAGATAGACCATTTTCTTTTTGCAAGTTAGATTTTTGCCATTCAAGTTGTTTACAAACATTTGTGTATCTACTATATGCTAGATTCAATGGAAAGTGCTGGTTTATAATCAGTCCCATAGAAGCTGCAGTTTAATACAAATAATCATGCACAAATTAAATATATAAATTAAATTTATATGAAAGAATAAACAACAATGCTCTTCTATACCAAACAAAAGCTTGCTGGACAGTTAGAAAGGACAAATGTGTATAATTAATACAGATGGCTCTAAGGCCAAATTAGAGGATATATACTTTTTTATTAGAGTAAAGGTACATTTGCAGAGATTGGTCAGACAAAGGAAATGCTCTGGTTATTTGAATAATCTAACTAAAGTCATCTCAGCTACCAAAAATGAATTACTTACTAGTCTTCAAAGCTTTATTATTTGCATATTAACACAGATATTTTTAATGTAATGTCATCTTTGGGAGATCTTGTAATTCCTTAGCCACATAATTTTGAACATTAGTTATTGCTATACAGTATTATCTTTAAATATTAGCTATGTTATTTGTTTGGATTCTAGGTAAATGGAAGTTAATTATAATAAGTAAAATTTTTTTGATAATAACAATGATTTGATTACCCTGAAAACTTAGGAAATATAAAGGTCTTTGTGAAAAGAATTCCTAGTCTATAATTTCCGTGCAAATATCTTGATTTTCTGTGTTGTGAATTAACTTTACTTATTCAAGTAGTGTATTTTTTATTTGTAATCTGGAAAAAAAATACCTACCCACTCCATCTTTTAAAAAAATTAACCAGGAAAAAAAGAGAAAAAAATGCAAAGAAAAATACATGTGGATCTGTTTAAAGAATGTGTATTCAATAACAGTGTTTGAGGGGGTCAATTAATAATTCCCTGTTGTTAGGGAAAGGACACAATTGGCACTAACCATAAAAAAGATGAATTAATTTATCTATGTTAAAATTAAGAACATCTGTTCATCAAAAGATGTCATTGAAAGAGTACAAAGGCAAGCCATAGAATAGGAGATATTTGCCACTTAATCATCAATAAAGAGCTTGTATCTAGGATTTATTATTCCTAGATCACCAAGGAAAGGAAAACATGCTGCGGTTAGCAGTCCTGAGATTGAAAGGCGAGGTTGCGATAGGGAGGGCCAAGAGCAAGGCTTCTGCTTTGTTGGCAATGTTTTATTTATTGACCTGGGTTAGGGTCACATGTTGGTTTACTTTGTGACTGTTCACTGAACTGCAAGTTCATGTTTTATATATATTTTGGAACAAGTGCTTGATAGCAACAAATAATATTCCTGTCTCTTTTTAAATTTTGTAACAGCATTATTGAGGTAGAATTTGTATAGCATATGTTTGCCCTTTTAAAGTACAGATTTCAGAGTTGAGTGAACCTGCTCGTCAGTAGGGCAGATACTGTACTACCAGAGTGAGTTTTCTGGAGTCTGTTCTTCAACAGTTGAGAATTTTAAGGTAAAATAAACATGAATGTTCCTTTTGAATTTAGGCATTATTTTGATCTTATAACCTATATGACTTTAACAAATACCCACGTATTTGAAGTGAAACTTTCCTGACATTGAGTTATTCTTGAACGCCAGACGGTGTGTTGAGACCCATACCTCCCGGTGAAGATCAGCACCAAAGCAAAAAGCTGTGTCTCGGGAACCGCTAAGAAGTCCTGTCTAGACTGGAGTGAAGCCTCAAGAACTTTTATTGCACTTTTAAAACTCTAGCCTTGTTAACTCAGAAAATAAGGATGGATTTTATGAATAACTGGAAAAAAATTTAAGGAAGCTACTTTATTATCACCATATGAATGATGTTAATGACAATATTTTTATTTTAGATTTGTCTGTTTTCCAGAATATAGTGGTGTGGTCTTTTATTACATTAAATGAGGTAGCAATAATTTAATGAGATCAATTTAATCACCTGTTGAGGTTAATTTCTCCTTGTCTTAGCTTTACATTAGCCAATTTTTTTAGAGGGGCTGGTTCACTGGGGTCACATCTCAGCAGAGAATTCTACACCTTTTAAAAAATATTAATTCCTTCAGATTATGAAGGTGATAATTAGTAAACTGCTCCAGGGAAGTAAATGATGACCTGGCCATTTTTAAGTCAGTGTATGGCTCACCAAAAGTTCACATTTATTATACCTAAAGCTTTTTAATAATCAGAATTTAATTAGGATTGAATCCTAATTAAATCATAATTAGGATCATAAAAATGAAGTTGATATCCGTGATCCCCATTATAAAAGTATATTCCTGACAACATTCTTAATTTTCTTTTAAAACTCTTCCAATATGTAGAAATCACAATGATTTGTTGGACTAGGGTGTTATATCACTGATTTGGGATAGCAGTAGGAAGAAAATACTGTTCTGAGGCAGCACTGATTCTTGAAGTCATTCACACTGCCAACTTTGGTTATGATGTTAACAGTGAAGAAATAGTCTGGAATATTGAAACTAGCCTTTTGTGAATTCCATTCACCAATGCTGCCCATTTTTCGCTCCATACAATTAATAGAGTGTCTCATGGCTTTCATTGGAAGGTTTTAAAAAATTATTTGCAAACCTTAAGAATCCTGGGAATCTTGAAAGTAAAATTATGGCCAGTCAGGTCAGTTGCATTCCAAATTGCTCTTTGTGAAACCTCTCAACTTTTATTTGCTGAGAAACTTTCAGGAAATTAGTCCAAAGATGAAGGTACATGTCTTGCACTTTCCTAGAGTTAGGGAGGGAGTGCATAGCCCATGGCCCACGGGCCTGGATGTGACATCATGAGGCACACCTGCCTTGGCTGTGCAGAGATAATCAGGTTTGCCCCTGCGATCATCCCCTTCCCTTCCACGACACCACTTGGCCTCATGAGGCCTCCTAACGGAGTCTCTCAGAACTCTACACAGGAGAATCCAAATGTTGACCGATGCCCCTATTTGTACAGCAGCCTGCTTAGGTGCACTGGGAGTTCAAAGTCATCATACCAGCCAGTTGAGAAATGCCTTAAATATTGAGAGAGGGGAGGAGAGATATCCTTAGAGATAACTAAGGCGAATTTGAAAACCAGTAGTGAAGCTATTTTAAAATATTTATCAATATGAAAATACTGAGATTTGCTTACATCCTCCCAGTTGCTTCAATATATTAATTATACATGTTTAAATTCATGTTAGAATTGTTTTTTTACTAATATGTCATCCACATTTAATATTTTATAAATCAATCAGCAAAATTTTTGTAAGATGCCAAAGCCTGGTATACTGCCAGGTTTATGGATGCATGTGTTGGATGTTGAGGGGGATATTAGGAGGGAGAAACATAAAATGGGAAAAACTAGGCTTAGGAAGTAGAAAATGGATATTTACAAGCACTATTAAAATATTCATGATTGGGGCGCCTGGGTGGCACAGTCGGTTAAGCGTCCGACTTCAGCCAGGTCACGATCTCGCGGTCCGTGAGTTCGAGCCCCGCGTCCGGCTCTGGGCTGATGGCTCAGAGCCTGGAGCCTGTTTCTGATTCTGTGTCTCCCTCTCTCTCTGCCCCTCCCCCGTTCATGCTCTGTCTCTCTCTGTCCCAAAAATAAAAATAAACGTTGAAAAAAAAAATTAAAAAAAAAATATTCATGATAATGCCATATTTCCTTCTTTACAACCTTATAAACTTTACAACTCAGTTTTCAACATTTATTGAGAATTTACTATGTAGTACCAGAAGGAAGGCTCTATGAGGGCAGGGATATATATATATATAGACATATATATATAGACATATATATATATGTCTATATATATATGAATTTATATGTGTGTGTGTACATATATATATGAATTTATATATTTATGTATATAAATATATAAATGTTTTAAATGATGAATCCAGTGCCTACAATAGTGCCTGGCACGTAATAGGCATTCAGTAAGTATTTGTTGATTGATTGAATGAGTACAGGACACTGACTAGATCCTGGAAATAAGATGTGTAAGAAATGCTCCCTCATCTCAAGAAGCTCACAGTCTAGTGGAAGACAGAAGCATGAGAGAATGATTCTTAGAGGGGGTTCCCTGGACAAGCTGCTTTAGCATCACCTGGGGACTTGTTAGAAATGCAAATTATTGGGGTCCGCTGAGACCTATTGAATCAGATACTGTGCGTGGGACCTAGCAATCTCTGTTTTCATAGCTCTCCTAATGACCTTGGAGTTTGAGAACCACCCTATGAATGTAACTATAGAAAGCTTATAATATATATAATTAAAACTACTAGAAATAATAAAAAACAACTCTGTATTGCAAGGAAACTAGGATCTGTTTTTAGCTAAGAAAAGGTATGAGGTATGGAGATGTATTTTTGTTAAGAGAAAAGAAAGTAAATTTTGTCCTAAAGTAAAGCTGGTTATTTCAGAATGAAAAGAGAAAAATAAAGGACAAACTAAGGACATAGACATTTAGGAAAAGAAAAAGAGAAAGGAAGGAAAAGAAGGAAGGGAGGGAGGGAGGGAGGATGGAAGGAAGGAAGGGAGGGAGTTAGTTTTGTAGTCACATTGGCTAAAAATTGAATTGTTATAAAGGTTTTTAAAAATGATACACTTGCTTTTTTGTTTTAATAGTTTGCGTATGTAATTTTCTTTCATTTGCAGAAAGGGCAAAGTTTTGTTGGACTATTGGTCTGCTCTTAATAAGATATTATGAATGTTTTGTTTTGTTTTGTTTTGTTTTTACCTTTTGAGTAATCTGCCTGGAAAGCAAAAATGTTGTGTTTTACTAAAATACTTTCCTGTGCTTCATGTTGTCTTTATCAGATCTTTGATTACTTAACTGAGTCTTAACTCTAAGAGCTGAATTTTACTTAAAACAATGTAATCTCCTATATTTGCTTTTAAAATCTTTCGTCACTTTGGTTAAAAATATAATTAAGTATTATCTGTGATCCTATTTAGTCAAGTGTCCAAACCTTTTGATATTTTTTGCAAACTTTCCAAAATCGATATTTAAACACAATTTTTTGACCTGGAAAGTAAGTTGGAGTTTTCCAGAGGGTCCCTGGAACATCTCAAAAGATTTGTTTTTTCTCTTTATAAAAGGGAGGTGCTAAATGAATTGGTTTATGTGATATTGCTAAATTACATGGGAAGTATTGTTAAATAAGAAATATCAAGCTTTCTTTACATTGTATCTGTATAGGTATCTGTTTTAAGTGTTGCAGAAATTATATGAAATTCCTAGAAATCAGATGTCCCAGCATAATGTTATCACTGTAATTCCAGTTATTATCTTAAAATGTTGTGTTCCCAGATATAATCAGATTTTCTTGCCAATTGCATTGTAATGAACTTTATCAGATCTTTAACCATGGCCATTTTTAAGTCCTTTCTCCTTTACAGACAGTTACTGTTTTATTCTGATGTTTTGTAAAAGCTTTCCTGTAAAAGTGCTTCATCTTCAAGGAGGTTCATGAATGGACTCTAACAAGTATTGTGGAATACAAGTTTCTGATAACTTTAAGGTCGTCCAACTGAACTGGGTAAGAATTTCCAGAACTACCGAAAAAATGAATTCACACAGAACAAACATTAATTACATGGGGTTGAATGAACATGGGAGTGAGTGAACTGAGGAGGATGATCATAATTTTTTATGACTTTTTGGTTTGAAACATTGCTGTTTTTTTTTAAATGTTTGGTTTTTCCAGATTTAAGAAAAACCTTTTTCTCTTTTCTCTTAATTTATCTATGATTTATAGCAGTTTGTTAAATTATTCCTTTATAAGCAGAATTGAAACAATTGCTTTTTCTCCCTACCTCATACCTCCAGAATTTAACAACTGTTAGTGAGTATTCTTATTTTCATGGCAATACAGTTATTTGAGTAAGCTCAATAAGAATCTGTTCTTAAAATGAGCATAAGTGGAAACATTGGTTATGTTACTGAGGCTTTGACTGGAATGTCATATCTGAGAGATCTACATAGACTTAGATATGACCAGACAGCTTTAAGAAACTATGGTTGACTTTAGGGAGCCAATAAACAATAGAGCCCCTTGGAAAAGTTGGCCTGGTACCTTGCTTACAGGGTTCCCAGCAGCCTTACTAGGTGAATGTGGAAGGTCACTTCCTGGCAGGCTCAGGAACCTCAGAATATTTGGGAGACCTTGAGAAGAGAGGAATTAACCCAGATTTGTAGGTATTGCAGGTGAAGTGTGATAGCAAGTCCTTGGCTTGGCTTCCTAGCCTCAAGAGGCTTTTAAGAGTTCAATCTGAGATTCCTTACCAAAAATTGTAGCAAAGCAGAGTTAGAAGAGCCTATATGATCAGTTATTATTCTTGCTACACTTGTGTAAATAGGCCAACTTTATTGAAACTAGATTTAATTTGCAAACAAATTAGTCTTTCTGTGATTATTTTTGGTAGATGGAAAAATTATGTTTCAGTAATACACCTTTATAAATATCAGATTCTAGGGGCGCCTGGGTGGCTCAGTTGGTTAAGTGTCCCACTCTTGATTTCGGCTCAGGTCATTCATGATCTCACAGTTTTGTGAATTCAAGCCCTACATCAGGCTCTGAGCTGGCAGTGCAGAACCTACTTAAGAGTCTCTCTCTCCCTTGCTCTCTGCCCCTCCCTCACTCACTCTGTCTCTGTCTCTCTCAAAGTAAATAAATAAACTTAA